GGAGAGTAATTGTGCTATTTTTGAGTGGCTATAGTTGAAAGTTCCTCTTTATTTGTCAAAAATATTTGAAATCTTAGATATGGGCAATTTGCCTTGGGAACTTAGGTTTAGGGCTAGAAATAAAAATTATAAATAGGCTCATAAAATCTCCATTCTTCATCTTTTATCGACAGAATAAAATTTCTCTCAAGTCTCGCACAGGCCAAAAAGCAAATTAAAAGAATTGTATGTTCTCAATTCCTTGATGAATGATGATTGTGTGGGTATACCGTCAATTCGCTGGAATATTATAATTTAGTTAGATCAAAATTTTAGTTATATAATATTGATTCCCCTTATTCTGTACTTGTTTCATATTATATAATACTCCGTTAGATCAAAATTTAAGTTATATAATGTTGACTCCCCTTAATCTCTTCATGTATCTACTTGTTTCATATTTATTGACAAGGACTTCGTAAATATTTTGGCTCCGTATAGCGAACTAAACTTCCATGTCGAATTACATTTTCAAAATTATCATCTTTCCGTAAGTTTCATACATTAACTAACACTCTCTTCATATTAAAGAACACGTTGACGCTGAGTTGACCAATTGACCTTAATGCGCAGTTGGCCAAATATTTGTTACCAATTGTCAACAACAGTCACGTGTACTTTTAATACAAAGACAGTTAATAGTTTAGACTTGTAAAGAGAAGAAAGAATAGTTGAGGTATGAGATTCAGAAAAAAAAAAGAAGTTTAAATTACATTGAATTTGAACGACAGATGCTGAGCTAAAGAAAACAGAAACAGAGGAATGAAACAAAAACAAGTAGTTGATAAGAGTCATCACATTATTCCTCTTTCTGATTTTGAAGAAAAGATTATATTTAACATACTTGTGAAGATCCCGCCACGATAGATTCATAAGAATGCCATGCCCGTTTGCAAATCATGGAAGGAAATTTTCTCGAGAACTTGTTTCATTGAGCAAAATTTCAACGAATCAAAATCAGAGTTACTGATACAGTCAGGATATACAAGGCATATGAAAACAAAATTGATTGAGATTGAAAAAGATCTTGAATGTGAATCGCGTGATCTTGGACTAAATAAAACACGCAAGATTCATTCTAGTTGTGATGGATTTAGATTGAAGAGCGAGCCAGATGATTTCTACTTTGGGAAACTACGAGTCATAAATCCCGCGAAAAAGTTCTGCATCACTATCCCTGGATGCCCTTCGCATTGTGAACATGGAACATGTAGTGCAGCCCTTGTATTTGACTCTTCGACAGAGCAGTATAAAGTAGTGCACATTGTTAAGTACTGTTTTCATTTCTAAATATTCAATCTTAGCAGTGGGGAAGAAAATCGGAAATGGGAACGAGTTGATTCTGATCTGTGGGAAGGTCTAATTAATCAGCCATTCGATGTTAATTTTTGCTGGAAGAATCTAGTATCGATAAACGGAAGGATTCTGCATTGGTATGTTAATTCGAGTGAGTATGTCGTTTTGATGGATGTAAAAGAGGGGAAATACAGTATCGCCTATCTTCCAGAACGCGATGAAGTGGTTAATAAAACTAACAATTACGCATTGATTCAATTGGATGGATTTCTCTCTTTTATCACCTGTGATTCTGAGACGACAATGGATGTTTGGATTTTGGAAGATTTTCACGGACAAGATTGGTCCAAGAAACATACGATCGTAGCAGAATTAACACATTATGTATGTCCATCCAAATCAACGCGACCAAATGAGAGATCACTGCCAGAAACAGGGAAACTTGTTGCTGTTGGTGGCACGAGGAACGGTGAATTGTTGATTCTTAAAAACCAGAAGAACTCAAAGGAATACTTATATGATACAACGAGTAGGATGATGAACATGTTTATCATTTATAACACGAGGAGCTCGTAATCTTTCGTAATGCCTAAGGAAAGCTTCTTTTCGATGAAGAGGATCTGCTGATGTTGCGATTTAATTTGGAGATCGATGAGCTTAAAAGGAACGACATGGATAACCGATTCTAGTTTGCTTGGGACTAAGGCGTAGTTGTTATTTTATTATTTATTTTTTTAGTATTCGTAGTTGGTACATTTGTTTACTTTGGCTTGTTGTTTTAGAAATTTAGATTTTCTCCTTTACACCTTGTTTGGATGGTTGTTGAATGTTTGTTTTTATCGTTATTAAATGCTAAATGTTATCAATCGATTTGGTGCAATCGCGTCATTACTTTAATATATTCTTCTCTTTGATCCTACTTTTTTATATTTTCTTAATTGTATCCTACTTTTTTTGTTGATTTATCATTCAAATTGTTTTATCTTATCGAAATGCTATATTCATTAAACAATATATTATGGTATAATACAATACCATATATTATGAAACAATACCTAATAAGCATCCAAACAAAAGTGGGAGCAAAGACAAAAAACAAAGAGATTAGGTAATTTCTTTCCATCTATCCTAGTTTTGGTGAACAAAGAATATCTGATACCTATTATACTTATTGTTAATGAAAAGTAACAAGAATTTTCCAACTCTAGCAAGCTAATCCCTTAGACCAAGTAGAAATCTCCCTATTCCTAGTTCAACTTCACTAATCAACACAAATAATTCCTTGATTCCTTGATACTTGTTAAAAATTCAATCTAATTTTCACCCTTCCGAGTAAAGAAATGAATAGATAGGGCTAAATCTAGTGTTGGCAACCTCACAAATAAGACTGTAAGCAAGCAGATAATCACAAACCAAATAATAATAAGCAAGAAAACCTGATATTCAATCACATAAAAGTTATAAGAGTCTAAAACCCCGAATAATCGGTTTAGCTACTCATACTAGAAGAAAAAATGCAGTATGAAATATAATTTTAAATAGTTCAATATTAAACAAATAAGAAGTTTCAAACTATATGGTGAAAATCTCTTAATCCTTGCAATGTTAACTAGAGATACTCCTCCTAGACTACTCAAATCAACAAGAAAAATTATCTAATTCATATTTGTATAACTTTCAAAACTTGGATACCCTTCCGCTGCCAATTTCATGGAGCGAAATCATGGAGACATTCCAATTTTCGTCTCCCCATTTTCATTTTGGGGAGGGAGACATACTTGTTCCTTTTTCAGACTTAGCCAAATAACCTTGTGTTGCCTTTGTCCTGCCACCGGTGCACATTTGAGGTTTGAAAAGTGAATCGAACTACTTTAAATTATTTCTAAGGCGATCAATGTTGAGCACAGTCGCACTGCTATTATACTATCATGTCGGTGTATACATTAAGTATAAATTGCGAGGATCATGATGCTAGTAACAGTTGTTAGATATCTTGTGAAATTAATCCAGATGTGTGCAGCTAACCTGGATCCCCAAAACCCCAACCCATACTTTGGCCCAAAGAGGCAAGGAAACGAAGAGATGATGTTCTATGAAACTGTCGTATGATGGCAGCAGCAAAATAATGCACAAGGAACCTGTAATGAATTGATTATGAAGACTTGTCATTATATTCAAAAACTGCACCTCATGAGTGTGTCTGTAAATAACATGCAGGTGTTATGAGAACTTTGATAATGAAAAAGAACTCCCTGTAACTTGTAAGTAATTGGTGTATCTATAAACTACATGTGGTGCAACAAACTAAAATGAATGTGAAATACGCATGTCATCTCATCATATATTCAACTAAGAGATTGATCAAGCATAAATGGTTTCTGAACTTGTTAGGAACCATCTCGTAGAAGCCTTTAATCAGATACCTCCTTGATAAAGTCTAACAAAGTGTTGTACATCATGAAGAAAAATCCATGTTGCAAACCTCATAAACTAAGAAATTCGCTATTCTGAACACCCTAAAATAACTGGATGCAACTGTGTCTTTGCATGTTTCCTACTTCTGTCTTACTCTTCCTCTTAAAGTACAAATCTAACATGCACAACCTCCACCTTGCTGCTCTGATTGGGATGTATTTGTTGTAGGCTTCAAATTAACGTCAACCATATCTTCCTGTTTTGTGGATGAAAGTGTTTCCATCCCCGGTAAGGCTGCAGCAATCTTTCGGAACAGAGGCTGCAATTTTCAATTTCATATTCTTAGTATCATGCTATTCAAGTACAAAAAGAAGTTATTATGCCAACTCAAATATTTTGAGCAAAATCTAGTGATCAGGATATTTTATCTTCAGTATAACTTGACCAAGGGGCAAAGTAATTTCAATGGAAATAACAGAAAGGACTTCACTGTCTCCGTACCTTGATATTGAATCCAGCTTTAGCACTGGTTTCTACATACATAACTCCAAATTCACGAGATTTAGCATCTCCCTCTTCTGTGGAAACTTGCCTGTTTAAATCAGTATCATTTCCGTAAGAGAAATGGTGGAGCAAATAAACCACAGTCTAGAGGAATCAAAATGCAATTTCCTCTTCTTGATAATCTCTTATGGGAACATTTTCTTCTTTTCTTCTGTGGAAAGAAATTGGACCAGAGAAGGACATAGCAAGAAATGCAGATCTACATAAATCTACTACTATTTACTTTAGAAAACTGAACATTTTAGTTGGACCAGTGTCTCAAAACTGAAGACTAGGTACTCAGACAAATTCCCATCAAATGTCAATCTACCAACTATGGAAATCTCTACTCGAGTGAAAAAAAATCATGACCATAACTCTCTTACAGAACATATTGAAAAGCGAAATATATATTACATTTATGCAAATCCATGCTAGATTCTGACAGAGTTCTAGGTCTGGTTTAAATCTCAAGTATATACATCTAATTTTACTAGGTCCCGACCAGAAATTAAAAAGGAATTGATAGGTGGTAAACAATTTATCATACACAGAATACGGAGGAAAATAACGTGTAAGAAGTACATTGATGCATGAGTAGTAGGTAAAGCAGTTGTCAAACAGAAAGGATCCATCCCAGACCCTACCTTTTCTCAACAAGATCAGTTTTGTTCCCAACAAGAACAATAATGACATCACTGCCTCGTTCAGTGCGTACTTCTTCGATCCATTTTGAAGTGTTCAGAAATGATTGGCGGTCTGCAGATATAATGATTTATCACCAAAACTTTGTTCATTGAACATTAAACCAAAGAAATGAATAATCAAACTAATTATAGAAAAACAAAAAAAAACTAATTATAGAGAATCAATTGCTATAGGCTCCCTAGGAACCTTGTAGTATGACCAAATATTGAGTAGGGCACAAATATGCGTCGAAACATTCTGTGGGAAGAATATCAAGCAATCACTTACTGGCAACATCATATACAATTACAGCAACAGAAGAATCTCTAATGTAGCTTGGAATAAGACTTCTAAATCTTTCTTGACCAGCAGTATCCCTGCATCCTTTCAGATATTGCATTAGAAACGAATTCATTGTTCAATATCCATAGTCCAAAAATCCCAATTGACAAAACCATAGAGTTATGTTAACAGAGAGTGGTCTGTCCAATCTCGACTGTATTTCCCCCAAATCTGTTTTCCACTATATACCTAATTCACCATTATAGCTATAAGTAAATAGGTTTTCTGTTTCATATTTTGTCAAGTAAATCCTACTGATAACTTGAAAACAAACAAAATTACAAAAAATAAGTTGCGAAAATGAAGCCTAACCAGAGCTGCAGGCGAACTGTTCGATCTTCAAGGTACATTGTCTTTGATAAAAAATCAATACCAATCGTAGCCTGCGTATAAAAAACAAATAAGACCCGTAACCAACACGTATTTATTTTCTAATTTTGGAATCAATTTCTCTAGCGATTCCAAATGGAAAGAAGGAGCAAGAGATACCTGATAAGTGGTGTCAAATTTATCGTACATAAAACGAGTAATTATACTGGTTTTGCCCACAGATTGATCTCCCAAAAACACCAGCTTATACTTTGCTAATGACGATACCACCGACATTGGAACCAAAATTCTATTGAATTACCCTTTCTTTTTCTTTCTTCTTCAAAATACAATTTCTCTCTCTCAGATCTGAATGGGTGGAAAGAGAAAATTAAGGAAGATAAAACACTTCTCTGCCTCTCTTCGAATTCTCTCTATATATATAATACCACTAACCGCCAACTCCATCAAAGCTCCACATTTCCCCTTCCTCAATAAATTAAAAATAATAAGGAAAATTACACTAGTTAAATAACAAAAGTCACTTTATTTTTCTTCTCTTTTAACATTCCCATACATAACTTCACCATGCATTACAATGTTCGTGGTATACAATGTATCCACTGCAAATGGTATTGTTGAAACATAATTCAACTATTTCAAGATACATAACCATAAATTAAAATCATATAAATTTAGGTTCAAAATAATTGAATTATCTATCAACAATAAAATTTGCATAAGACATATTGTACACTAACAACGTTATAATGTACACATAAAGTAATGTATTCGAATATTAAAAGAGAAAGAAACTTTTTATAATTAATTTAAAAGCAAATCTTTTCTAAAATTATGTTATTTAAGTTGTGTAATTATGTATTTTTTTCTAATTTAATTTATTTAGGAAGGGCAAAAGTGGAGCTTTGGCGTTGATGGTACAAAATGCGAAATTATTTTATCTTGCATATACTTGGATACATTAGATACCTTAAACTATTTATTTTGTCATTTATATCATAATGATAAAACAAATTATCTCATATATGGATTAACTTATTCTAAGATAACTTATCCTAGGATAGTTTGTTCTCCAACAAACGAGGATGTCTGCTACGAGCAATAAGAGATAAACTTATACACTATGTGTTGGATTAAAAACAATAATGTAATTAATACCACAATTATTAGTTTTAGCATTTATTTTTCAAATTATCACTTAACGTCCAAGTTAAATCAAATACTTAAAAGGTGGAATCATGGAATCGCGTGAGCGATCTCTGTATTTAACTCTGTTTAACTCTTAGTTCCTCGGATAAAAAACATGATTACACATGTGATATTTTTTTGAGCAATCAGATAAAAAGCATAATTACGCACGTTTAAAGTTTAGGAACACATGCCTTGGGAGGTTCGTTTTGAAGTTTAGGATTTAGAGTTAGTTCGTAATATTACACTAGTTGTAATCTAAATCCATAACTTGAAGGTTAGGATTTAGAATTAGTTCCTAGTATTGAAAGAGTTGTAATCTTAATTCATAACTTGAGGTTAAGGAATTAGAGTTAGTTTCGTAGGTTATATAGTTTGCAATCTGTGTTTTGTTAAGGCTCAGTGATTTAGTGAAGTTGAAGTTACATCATGTAGAGATACATGTCATTGGTTTTACATCTTTTGAGTCAGGTGTTTTTCACATAAAAATATTGTGTTTTTATTATTTTTACTTTTTCGTTGGAACACGCGAGGTAACCGTTCCACTCATAGGAGAATATAGGCCCTAAAATACCTTAAATTTTTACGACCATGTTTAAAAATATAATTAATTTTCTCATTTTATTATGTAGCACAATTGATTAGTGTATTTTATAATTAATCTAATCTAATTAAATTCCTAGATTAAATTCCAATCCAAATTTGAATCCACCAAATAACCCCAAATCCCACTTCCTAAAAATCACATTAAACTAAGGGGAAATAATTTTAGTTCTCATTTGGATGTTCTTCAAGATTTTCAAATTTTCTTATGGTGATTTTGTTTTTCCTTATATACTTTCCAAATAAATAAGTAAATCTAAATTCAAGTACAATAAATGATTAGTATAAATCATTGAAAAAGGTTATCATAAGTCTCAAAATGATCAATTCATGATTTAATGATAGAAGAAGAGCCTTATCTGTAGGTATTGTAGTCGAAGCCAATTTGGGAGCTGAAGAAGTCTTCAATGGAGTTGAATTCATGTCATTGGTAAAATCTGTAAAATGCCAAAGTGAATATCATCCAACCATCCCCATCTCAGCTTTGTGGTTGTCAATCTGGTTAAGGTTTGGCTGAAATTTGCACTGTATTGGAGTTGAGGATGAACGGCAGTAGTTTGTAGTCTCTTATACAGAGACCTTTTACTTCTTGGTTGATATTTGTTTAGCTAGGGTATTGCACTTTTATATTGTTCATTTTCATTGTCTTGGGCTTGGGTTGTCGGCCCAAGCCAATCTTGGATTGTTTCCATTTAAATAAATGAATTTCAGTCCATTTCGATTAAAAAAGTACAATAAATGATTTTCAAAACGATTTAATGATGGGTAATCTACGAACTCACTTTTTAGATTTTTAAATTGAGATGTGAAATTCTTCGGATGAAAAAATGGAGTTTCAATGATTTCATTCAGATTTTTTTATTTACTAAATCAACAACTAAATTAAATTTGGTCATACCACATTTACTTCGTAATTGATTAGAGACTCGGGGGGATTATATTTAAAGATTCAACCACTTACCACTTTTAAAAAAGAACCCCAATCTTTGAGTCTCAAAATTAGATAATAAACTTGATTTTAGTATATGATATGATTTTGAGCTGGAATTTAATTGGTGTTATATTTCAAATGTAAACTTATTATACATCAGTTGAATATTACGAAAAAGAAAAATTGGTTTAAAATATAATGAACACCATTAAAGTTTGGATGAACCTTTTGGAATGAACTGACTCGATCGTTATGAGTAGGCCAATTTGGAAAGAATTTGGGCAACAGAATTCTTGGACATTGATTTAAATTATTTTGACTTGGACAACCTTACAAAATTTGGGACAGGTGAGGTCTAGAACTATCCAAGAAGGTGGGGTCTATTGTTCATGTTTGGTTGATATGTTCTACTGCAAGACATTAAATAGTCCATACGAACTTATGAAATTGAATTTGGTTAAGTACAACTCCTGAAATTAATCTTGGTGTGCAAGGTGTCAGAACGTCAAGAAAATGAGTTGTTTGTAAAAGGGACCTTTTCTCCAAATGTTTAACGTGTAATGTTGTGTCGATCCCATCATAACGGTTCTTAGATTGTTGTAGTGGGGTAAACTTTCACTATGATGGCACCTCTATAGTGTATTGAGCCACTATAATGAGATGAATCAGGTTTTAGTGTAGAAACAACCTCAAACCCCTATTTTCTGCACTTTGTATTCTTGAACTAGGGAGAGTGATTTTGGGCAGTTTGCACCTATTTTTCCATGGAATTCTTTTGGTAATTGTAAGAATTTGACTCCTTGACCTTATACACTATCTCTTGAGCCTTGGAATCTAGGTTATTTGTCTTGGAGGAAGGTTTTGATATGATTCTATGGTGGAAAAGAGTCCTAAGTTACGAAAGATGATCATATTTTGATCAGACTTAGGATTGATGATCATTCGAGTAAATTAATAGGTCATTCGTGATTGATTGTTATTTATATTATTTGTTTTAGAGCATGAAAATGTCAATGTACTTCAAGGAGAAAACTCAGCTTATTTAGATTACTCAAGAGGTTTGATTCAAGGTAGGTGATGGTTGTATATTTTTTATTTATGTATGTGTGCATGTCTACTACTTAAATTATCATATGTGCAATGGATGGTAGAGAAACATATAGAATGACATCATGTATCTAATTTCATGTAATGAAAATGTTATTGTGAGTTCTAATTTTCAAGTGGTATGTATTGTTCATTGTGCTATGTGATTCAAAATGATTGTTTCATACTCAGTACGACACCGATACACTAACTATGAATGAATCATGTATTGTTCTGATACCTAGTTATAGATAACTCATGTACCATGCTGGAATATTAACAATTTGGATTTGGGTTGTGTGAGAGGATAAGTTATGTAATGATGATTCCATGAGGGGACTAGAAATTTGCATTTATGATCAGATGAAACATGTTTCATGCATTGGTTAATTCATGTATTGTTGTATCATGACCAGTGGTTGATAGTCTATGTGATTGATATTGTTATTATATGCATTGTACTGTGTTACTTCTTTATGGTAAACTGTTTACATTCATATGTTGAAGTCCTCAAAGGCCCAAGTTAAAGGCTAAGTAGGTGTTTCACCTACTTGACAATATATGGTCCATAATTGATCAAGAAAGTCAGATGCACCTACATTTAAATGGGATAAAGTTTCTCTCTTGGTGTTTGTTAGCTTAACAGAATAGCCTTAAACAGCTTAGGGTTCTTAAATATCCCCACCCCCCTTTCAAGTAAAAGTTTAAATGAGAGTTTAAGTTATTAAAGTACAAGTTCAGAGGATAAATTTCCAGAAACTAAGTTAAGGCTACTGCCCATTTTTTCCTCACTTTAAATATTGAGTTAGGGTGGAGATTGTTGTATATATTTGTCAAGAACTCACAGATGGTGATGAATCCTTGAGTACAATATTTTCCTTTTATGTCGAAGGATTTTTTTGGATTGATAGTTGTTACCTTATGTATATTGTTGTTGGGGGCAGCTTGGTTATCTTGGAAAAAGGTGTATAAAGTTGTATTAATATATAGAAGAAGGTCGTGGTGAATCACACCATTTATGTAGGCATTGTAGGCCTACTGTTTTTCAAGTGTTCAGGTACTGTTTTACGAGGCCCTTAATGAGAATAACTGCTAACATTAGTTTAATCATGAATTATATTGTAGATTAACACACCAAGAGAGGCTGAATCATCATGGTATCTAGGCTATGCAATTCCATATTCCTTAGCATGAAATCTGATTATTGTGATTAATATCAACAAAGTGGGTCCTAAGTTCTTATAACACCCAAAAACTAGTAAGCTAGAGCCTTAAGTGAGGGTTCTAGAGTTTAATATGAGGGATAGATTCATAAATGACTTCCCAAACTAAAAATGGAAGTTTTAGGATTAGGAAGTCAAGGTATGACCTCTTAAGGACCAACCAAGAGTCCTTGAGAAGGACCCAAAAAATCCCTAAAATCTACCCAAAAATGGGCCACCTACAGATGGGACTCACACCCAGTAGGTTGATCCATACCCCGTGGGAAGGGGTCATAGGTAAAGTTTAATTTTTAGAGTTACAGTACACAACCCACCAAGGACCAGTACGGTCTTTATACCCACCCATGGTCCGTGGGTCGGGTCTCTTGGGTGAGGCAGTTTTGGGGTTAAATTGTTTTATGTTAAGGACTCAGGGGTTAATTCATTATTAGTTAGGGGATAAGTGGTTTCGATTTTTTAGTAATAAGAACACCTATACAAACCTAATATACCCCTAAATACATTAAGCCTAGACATTATTTTCAACTCATCAAAAGAACCCAATTCTCTCTCTTGGAAGCAAAGAAAAAGAAGAGAAGAAATCTAGGACAAAATCTTCCATTGCTGCAAGAAATATGATGTATTTATAATCAAGCTGTGTTATATTATTCATTCATGGATTCTTCCCTACACGCAGCCCCTAGATTTTCCTCAATTGTGAAGATAAACCCCAATTCTCGCTAGGGTTTCTTCCTACATTTTGGGTAGTATGGAGTATGATTCCACTTGAGTGGATAGTACTTGTTTATGACTGATTTAGTGTTGAATTATGTTATTATGATGATATTATATGTTTTCCATGGTTAACCCTAGTCTAACTGATGAAATTCATATTTTGTGGGTTCATACCATGAAAGGTAAAATTGAAGACTTAGAAATCATGATCTAAAATTGATGACTTATATAGTAATTGCTTATGATGAAAGCTTGTAGACACTAATTAAGTTAGATTATAGTATTTATGATGGTTCAATACTAGTAAAGATTGTAGTCGAATCTTTTTTATGCTTTATGACTACAATTACCAAATAATGAAACATGTGATTAGAATGCCTTAAAATCTAGGTATGTATGATGATTATAAGGAGTAAAGCTTTGAGAGTAAGCCTTGTATTCATGAAGGTTGATCATTAGGATTTTGAGAGTAAATCCAATATGATGAAATATGTATGTTAAAGCTTTGAGAATAAAGTGTGTATGAGAATAAAAGGTTAATGAATAGAATTTTGATGAAAGATCTTTACCTACCTAACCTACCTTATGAATGATAGCTTGTATGAAGTGATAGAATCACTTAAGTCGATATAAATGTCTAATGTAGAATTATAGATATGGTATTATTCATGAATATGATAAGATATGAAAGGGGTTTTCTCAAATAGAATGATTCTAGGTTGAAAGTTTTGATCACCTAAAATGAATCTAAGTCCAATGACTATGAAATGTGATGAGGTTGTGGCGATTCCCCTAAAATACCTTCATATGAGAGGAATATTATGTGACTTCCTTTATTACTAATTAGTTAAACATGAGGTGCTTACCCATGTCATGATATGAGGTGATTAACTTTTTATGTATGTATGACTCTCAAGGCAAACAATGATTATCCATTAACCTTTGTGTTGATCATGAAGGAGATTACCTATGATCCTCATGTGATGATGTGGACATGGAGGCGAATACCTATGTCTCATTAAAATAAAAATACAGAGGTGAATACCTATGATTCATTGATATGTATGGATAAAGGTGATCCCCCTTGTCTTTATGATTCGTTGATATGTATGACTAGAGATCATTCCCATTGTCTTCATGATTCCGTGATATGTATGACTTGAGCTGATTACCCTTGTCATGTATGATAAGCTAAACATTCCCCTTGCATTTATGAACATGAGCATGATTAGTTTGGATTTTAAACATGAATGACTAAAGGTTATGCCCCTTGTGTATGAGAATAAGAAATTATAAACATGAATGAAGAACCTAAAGTTTTTAGCTTAGCATGGGTAGTTTTATTATATCTTGCTCATGCATGACACAAGTTTGACTTGAGGTGACTAATGAAGTGTTTCGCTTATATGATGTATGATTAGATATGATTGTTCAATAGTTGTTTTCCTTGTTATGTTATGATTGACTAAAGGTGAGAGATTCCCTTGGTTATGAGAATTATGCAAAGGATGAGATGATAATATGGTAAGTATGACTATGGTGACCAAATGGGATACCTAGCATGTATGGAATAATGGGATCCTATCCATTCTTGGAGGTTCCTTATGATATGGTTCTCTTATGCCATGGAAGTCTAAGCATTGAC